CTAAACGAAATTGGGTGAATACATCTCATACTACTGATATACTGGTAGTCTTGAAACTCTACTTCAATATGAAAATAGATATGATTTACACACATTCTTGTGGTGGGATTGTCGACGATGACAACACTCGACGTCAGTCACTTTCACACGCATTTCAAGTTATCACAACACCATCACGTATACGACAGGCTGTACGAAACAACCACACAATAATGTAAATGGCAGGAGGTTCATCAAACCCATGGGTATGACCTGGAAAACATCAAATTATGGTACACAAAAGGGTCGTCAATGGCTCCAGTTTCCTCGATCTTCATTTTCTCTTCTCACTCTTGTCGGTCGCTCGTGTGATGGCTGAAAAAGTAGCCTTTAACCATCCTTTCGGACACATCTGCCACACCCCACCCCCCCACCCCCCCGTTGAAAGGCTATTTTCCATGCAAGTGTTTCCACAGACCTCTCGCATCACATGTACACCCGGTGACAGGCTCGAGAGCAGACGACAACCTTGAACTCGACTCAGTCTTCTCACGTCAGCAGAACAAATCGCGCAGCCGACAAAGGCGTGGAGCTTGGCCGATATCAACTCAGCAGAGAGAGAGAATGACTGTGAACCCGTCAAAGATGGGGATGAGGGGCGGGGCGGGGGGGGGAAATCTGGCCATTCCCACCTGAAGTGGGCGGAAAATGCAGCCGTGAAGCGATAATGACTGAGTCTGTCATGCACTTGCGTGTACCATATCCTCGTTTATGTGTGTGTATGTATGTGTGTGTGTGTGTGTGTATAAAGCGTCTTGTCTGCGGAAGGCATGTCGGTGTATGTTTTTCCCATTGACCCTACCCATCTCGCGGCAGCGTCGGCTGTACATGTACGTGATGGTCGATGCTGCGAGCGTTGCGAGCCATCTTTTCAGAGTCAAGACGAGTGGAGGTGAGAGAATGAGACAGGCGGAAAGAGGACGAAGAGAGTTGGGCAGCAGGCTTTCGGTGTGGAAAGAGGTGAAATGGGAGAAAGATCACGTCCCCACTGCTCTGCCCATCGCCTGCGTCTGTGCCGGTGTGTAGGCCACACTTTTGGCGTGGCGCCCACCTTTG